CTGGACACTACAGAAAATGGGCTAAAAGTGTTAAAAACCGAACTTCTCCTTTAAGGGTCTTGCTCAGGAACCCAGAGTGGAGGCTATGGGGATCTAACCGGGTACTTCAATGGAAAAACAATCTCGAAACAAGTACAAATTTCTTAAATTAAGTGTATTTACCCTTAATTAAAGTAGGTAAATGAGTTAGTTTGCCAATGGAATGAGTGTTTTTCCTCTTAAAATAAGATAATTGGATAATATGCACCTAAAATAAGACAATGCAATTGTGTTTTCTTACAGTGTAAATTGTCGTGTTCCATTGGTAAGATGTCTCTTTTATCTCCTCAATCCAAGAATAAATGCACTTATTTTAAGAAATAATTACTTATTTAGATTTAGATTTTTTCCAGTGTTGCAACCTTCTCAGAGCATAAGCGCAATGCTTTTACCACTAGGCCAACATTCCCCAACAAAAGAATCTTCTCAAAAACATCTTATATGCAGCTTCTCCTAAAGCTGCATATAAAATTATTATTATATTATTTTTTTTATTTAACTCAGTATCTTTTTTGTTGTACCTCCCTGCAGACGTCCAGGATCAACCAGCAGATCTTGGCGTCAGACGGAGGAGACCGCAGCAGCTCTGTGGAGCTAACCGTCATCATCACCAACGTTCACAACCAGCCGCCCCACTGGGAGCAGCCTGAATACTGGGTCACTGTGCCGGAAAACACCGTCCGAGATGCCAAGATAGTGGTGAGTCAGTGATCACAAAGCAGATCAACTGCTATAATCATACCTACTGCTTTTTATCATCACTAGACATGATTTAGTTACCATCTGCAGGAAAACACATGGGCCCTCATATATCAGGGCTGAGCTGTGCGGTAATTAGTTCTGCAGTCATCAGGATTTATCTACGGATGCGTCCCCAAGTACTGCCATGAGTACTAATTGATGCCGTGATACCTCTTGTATTTAATTAAAAGGTGTTTTTGGTCTCAATATACTTAGAGTGTAATTATGTGCTACATTCTGTATGTAGAATTAAAACTTTAATGAATCAAATTATTATTAAAATGTTACATTTACTACAGTTTTTTTCTTTTTCCTCTTACTTAAAGATTCTATATGATTTATTAAAAGAATTCCAAGGTCAAGTACAGTTATATATGTGATGAAATATTACCCTTGGCATTTTGTTATGAAATATTAGTTGTATGTCCAGAGAAGGGACATATTTAGGCTGAGGTGGATAATCCAGGTCCAGCAAGGCGCTAATCACCTTGTTTGATGAACAGGATAAAGGAAATCAAGGCATAATCCAGGCAAATCTGGACCTGGATTATCCACTTATGTGGTTAAGACACTTGCCTTTACTTGGACGTCAGCTCTCCCTGAGTGGATGAAGTCCATTTTCTTGACGTTGCTTTTTCAACACGAAATATTAGACATCTCATGGTTGAGAAACACATTTTGTGGTTTGGACATTAGATGAAAAACAAACAGTTGCTGTCACTGTGCAGATTAGCTGCTAAAAAAGCCACTTGACCTCATTTTGAGAACAAATGATGGCGCTCTACCTCACATTGATGTTCTCTAATTAGAGAAAGTGGGCACGTTGTCTTGTAGGCAGGCAGAGCAGTCAAGGCAGGTGCTTCCTGGAGGAGCAAGAAAATGACAGCAATACGTAGAACTGTGATTAGCAGATGTTTTCCAGAACGGGGAGGAACTGTTGCTCAGAGAGCAGAATTTCCGAGGAATACTTAGACCATTGGCGTCGACGGACCCTTTTCACAGGGGCATGTGCCCCTTTGTGGATCCGTGGTGCCTGGGGCACCGATTTTTTAATTAATTCATTTTCCACTTTCACAGCTCCGCACTCAAAACGGAGTTGAGAGAGGAGAACTCTTAAGCCAGTTACAATTGATCGGCAGCTTTGCAAAAATGAAGCCTCGACGCTACCGTTTACTGTTAAAAAAAATGAACATCCAGCTCTCCCATCTTTCTGGCTATGGTATACACACCTCATAGGATCATCACCATCACACCATCATAGGATGGGCCCAAATAGTAATGAGAAACATAGACATGTATGTATGTAGAGGTGTTTTTTAGTTTTTCCTTTTACAGTTGCATATTTCAAGTTTTCAGTTTTCAGGTTCATGTTTGCTGACAGATATTAAATGAAGATAAATTGTGCCTTCATCAGTAGTAGATTAGAGAGATACAGTTAAGTTCGCAAGTGGGCCGATTTAATTCTGTTTGGTTCAGGTAGATATTTAATGATGCATAAAATAACAATCTGAATGCACAATTTATTTATGACGCTTTATAATAATAAGTGTTATAAATATTTGCTCACATGCTTGCTTTAATTATCTGTACCCATGCTTTTTTTGAAGAAATAATTGCCCAAAACATTTTTTGTGCCCTATTGTGCCCCTGTATAGTATTGAGTCAGCTGACGCCCCTGACTCAGACATTTGTTTATGAACCACGTTTTGAATGTTAATGGATGAAAAGCATTGCAACAAAGGTAAAAGTGAGCAAGAAACCTTTGAGCATTTTAAATCCAAGGATATCAGCTCTATTATAAACGAGTTTGGGAATCTTTAATGTATGTCGATCATTTTCACGGAATACAGAACAAAAATATAGCATCTGAATTTAGAGTCACCTGAATAGAGATATGACAAAATCTAGAAGGAAGGTTTACTCTAAGAAACTAAAGGTTTTCTGCTGTTCTCCTGTATAAAACTCTGCACGGTCCAGCAGTTTGTATTGTAAGCCTTTGATGCAGCTTCTGGAAGTTTCTTCTTTCTGCATACAGCAAAACTGCTGTCCCTGCTTTATGATTTTACTAAACCTACCACTTCATTACTGGGGTGTTGTTGTTTCCATTCATGTTCACTTTGTTGTAAAACCTTTAGAAACTGTTTGAAATGTTTAATGGCAGGTAGTTTCTCAGATGGCACTAGCAAGCTTAAATTTCCTGAACTGTTTGTGGAAGCAGCTGCAGCTTAGCTGATCGATTTTATCCACCTGGGGCCATGAAACTGATTGGATCAACTGGATTCAATTATCTGGAGAGGTGACCCAATACGTTTGGCGGTATAGTGAGTGTTATTTTGTGAAGTTGAACTTTATAGGAGCAGTGTTTGCATCTGAACCTTTGAGGCCAAACTTTGCTTGTGAGAGTAAAAACGAAGCTGATGCTAAATCAAAAAGCAC